CCACCAGGTGCTCAGAGAAGGGAAACAGGAGCTCCAGACCCGGCCTCAGGGAGTTCACCACCTGGGTAGAGAGCTGAGACACAGCAAGACGTTAGATTGGATGTTGGCCACGCGCTCACGCGTCCGGTGTAACGGCACAAGAGGTATTTCCCCGAGCTTAAGACCGGGAGGTCTGAGACTTGCTAAGATGCTTGTGTTGCCTGGGATTCACATCGGTTCTTCCTTCGAAGAAGCCTCAGAGCTCCCTGCCAACATCTCAGGAAACCTTGGTCAGATTCCCCTCTTCTGTTTTTCTCCATCCTGAGGCCAAAATTTCTCATCCTTCCTTCAGAGCCAGGAAAGTGAGGAAGCAGGCCACGCGCCAACCCGCCAGGCAACTGGTCCAAGGTTTACCCGGACCCAAAGGTGTAGCCAAGGATTTCCGAATCCCCACTGGCACCTCCGTCTTCATGCACTGGATGAAATCATTGAGTTTTTAATTGGGAAGTCCACTCTTGGAAGAGACATGGTCCAAAGAAAGTCAGAGACAGCATGCTGGGGCTCACTGTGGATACAGCAGTAAGTAACACAACATTGAGGGGCACAGTAGGATGCTGTGGGGTGTCAGCTCGTGGGTCAACAGTCTTCTCGGAAAGGGCCAGGTCCCAAGTGGCAAATCGTTTAGGATTTGTGGGCCAAATATCATCTCTGTTGCCCCTTCTTCTTCTCCTCCCTCTTCTTCTTCCTCTTTACTTTTCAAAAAAAATTGGTTCAGGTCCACATAACATAAAATTTACTCTCTTCCCCCAAGAGAAAGGAGAGTCCCCAGTCCCTAGATATCCACACAAAAGAATCAAAGTGGACCCTTACCTTACACCATATACAAAAATTAACTCAAAATAGATTTAAGACTTAAGCGTAAGACCCCAAACTATAAAGCCCCTGGAAGAAAACACAGAGAAAAGCTTTGTGACATTGGATTTGTGAAGATTTCTCAGATGTGACACCAAAAGCACAGGGGGTGACAAGAACACAAGTAGACAAATGGGAAGCTTTAGAACTTCTGTGCATCAAAGGATACCATCGGCAGATTTAAAAGGCAATCTTTGAAATGAGAGAGAATATCTGCAAGTCACTTGTCTGATAAGGGGTTAGTGTCCAGGCTATGTAAAGAGCTTCTGCAACTCAACAACATAAAAAATCAACCCAATTAAAAAATAGGCAAAGGGCTTGCATAGACTTTTCTCCCACGATGAGATACATGGCCAACATGCATATGCTCAACATCACTAATTATCAGAGAAACAGAAATCAAAAACCACAGTGAGGTATCACCTCACACCCGCTGGGAGGGTCACGATCAAAAGGAAACAAATAAAAAAACAGTAAACCGTGAGTGTTGGCAAGGATGTGGAGAAGTTGGAATCTGGTGCACTGTAGGTGGGATTCTAAAATGGGTGCTGCCACTGTGGAAAACAGTATGGCGGTTCTTCAAAAAGTTAAAAATGTATCCACTTCCATCCAAAAGAACAGGAGCGTGATCTCAAAGAGATATCTGCACACCCATATCCAGGGCAATATTATTCCCAGAGGTAGAAACAACCCACGTGTCCATCAGTGGATCAACAGGCACAGTGTACTATCTACACCCAGTGGAATATTACTCAGGCCTTAAAAGGAAGACAAGCCTATCCTGTCACGTGTTACGTGTGTTGGAACCGGGGAGAAACACGAGGACATTGCGCTCAGGGATATGCACCCGCCATAAAAGGGCAAACACAGTGCATTCCACTCATACGAGCGGGGTCTCTAAAGCAGATTTCTAGAAACAGAGGGTAGAAGGGTGGTTGCCAGGGACTGGGGAGAGGTTGAGAATCGTTGTGTAATGGGTATTGAGTTTCAGTTTCACAAGACAAAAAAATCCTGGAGACCCATTTTTTAACAACGTAAAAATGCTGCATTACTGAACCGTACACTTAAAAATGGTTAAGATGGTGAATTCCATGTTATGTTTTCACTACAATTTTTTTTAAAGCATTCAAAGGTCCAGCCAGAAAAAACTCTGTTACCATCTGAACCATTTTAAGTATAGCATTCAGTGTCTGTGTGTGTGTGTGTGTGTGTGTGTTAACAACCCTTTAAAGGTGTGAAAAACCACGGGGCTCAGTTGGTTAAGCGTCTGCCTTCGGCTCAGGTCATGATCCCAGGGTCCTGGGATGGAGCACTGCATTGGGCTCCCCGCTCAGTGGGGAGACTGTTTCCCCCCATTCCCCTTCCCAACCCCCTGCTCATGCTCTAGTGTGTGCGCACGTGTGAATAAGTAAAAAATATTTTTTAAAAAATTGTGAAAAACCAGGCCTTACAAAAACAGGCTGCGACTAGATCTGGCCCATACACTGTTTGCTGACCCCTGTGCTAGATCAATGACCACAAGACCCAGATTTGGTAAAATGTAAAGGCTTTCGTCTAGGACAAAGGAAGGTCATCCATACGAGAGATGGTAAGAGCCCCAGCCCAGGGTGGCTGTTAGGACTCGTCCCTTAGTCAGACTTTTAGCTCTGCCACACACTGCTGTGCAATCTTAGACAAGTTACTCACCCTCTCTGGTCTCAGTCAGCTCCTCAGTAAAATTGGGGTGATAAGCAAACCTTCCCTCTGGAGTCATAGGGAGGGTTAAATGAGATAATATGCAGGAAGCACTTGGCGTAGCTCTGGGTGCACGGGACGCCTACAGCAAACGTTGGCATCTATGCTTGTCAGGAACAAAGCAACTCCAAGGAAGACATCCGGTTCACTACACTGTCATGACTGAAGCCGCTGGAGTCCCAAGATGAGGTCGCGGTCAAACGTTTTCGCTCAGCCTGGAAATACAGGAGCTGACCAGGGGTGGTCTGGTCCCCTCGCGCTGGGGCTCCTGGGTGGGAAGCCGGGGGGCTCCCCCAAGCTAACCCATGGTGCTGTTTGAACCCTGGCCCTGGGCCTCAGGCTTTAATGCAGGGGAGAGACTGCCCCCACCAGATAGAAGAGGGGTGACCAGATGGTCAAGAGGGGCCAGGGATGGGGGGAGTCACAAGAGAGCCTGTGGCAAGCTGGCTGAGGCCAAAGCCTCACACCGAGGCGCCCGCACACACCCTGTGTCTTTGTTCCAGTGGGCGTGACCGGCAGCAACGGGCCAGAGACCCGGGGGTGGCTGGGCACACTGGGCTCCTTAGCAGGCATCGGAGAAGTTCGGAATCGGGACGAGGATTCCGGTGCTCGCCCCATAATGCTGGATTTAAAGCAGCCTCCCCACCCCACCCCGCCCCTGTCAGTAGCACTCGTCTGAGGCACCCTGTGTGCACAGCCGGGTGGGAATCCTTAGGAAGGGAACTGGGAAACTGAAGATGGGGGCTCAGCTGTGGCCGTGGCCAGCTCACGTGGCTGCACGAAGGGAGCGAGCGGGGGAGGAGTTCACGAGGCCGGGGCTGGCTCCACACCAGGCCTGGAGAGCTTCCGAATCAGGGGACGGAGCCTGGAGGTGCGCAGCCAGCCCCACCCCGCAGCTGCTCCTCCTGGGCCACTGCGGGACTGGAAGGGCGCCCAGGGCCAGGTGCTGGGCGGAGAGCCATTCGGGTTTAGAGGAAAAACAACCACAGGCCGGATTTCAAGGCTCGGAGTCTCTCCACCCCCTCCTTCCAGTCCTTTCTAAAGAGCTGTCTGTGGACCTGGAACGCCCCAGAGAGCGGGGCTCTGCAGGAACCTCAAAGGCCCCAGGTCACCTCCAGCAGCATGTCGGCTTCCCTGGGCGGGGACGAGTCAGGGCTCCACAGGCGACCCCCAGCCCAGCGAGGACCTAGCCTGGGTGGTTCGGACACGGAGGACGGAATGCCTGCAGGATCCACACTGGGAACTCAACCAAGAAGAACAAAAAGAACAAACAAGATCAATCCCCACCCCCCCCTCCACTGGAGCCAGAATTTTCTTAAGCCAAAGCTACTGATGGTCAGAAGTACTTGCATCCTGTGCAGGGACCCCACCCTCGGCAGGAGCCCCTGGAGCCACGGGAGTGAGGGCCTGCCCACTCACACTGGGACCCCTCTGAAGTGTCAGCTTCCAAGTTACCTCTCCCAGGGTGGGTTTGCTTCCAAACTCCGAGTGGGTTAGTGATGTGGGAAACAAAGGCAGAAAAAAACTTAGATTTCCTTACTGCCTACAGCCCACTGATGAGTCCTTGAAACAGGCAGGGTGACCTTCTCCTGGGCGCTCAGCTGCCTCGATGTTAATACTTGGCTAAGGGCAAAGGGCAACCTTAGCCTGACCTCCAGGATCCTGTAAGTCTACTTTAACACAGAAAGATTCCTTTGGAAACTTCCGTTATCTCTGCCCCACAAGGTACATGTTGGCAATCATCCCCAAGCATATGACCCACCGATATACACCTGAAGGGTTTCATGACTCAGGTTTTACTAGACAGTAAAAAATGACTTTTTCCTAACAACCAGCCCCACAAGGTCCTGGAAACCTTGCTTCCAAATTCCATAGAGACTTACACTCTCCCTAACCCCCTCCCAACTTGAAAGTATAGAATCAGTCACTCCTCACAACCGCAGAGCAGCTCTTTCTGCCCATGGATCCTGTCCCCGAGCTTTAATAAAACCACCTATTTGCACCGAAGACGTCTCAAGAATTCTTTCTTGGCCGTCGGCTTCGAACCCTAACGTCTCTCCTGCACCGTCAGGAGTCAGGCTGTTTAGAGCCTAGAAGTCACACACCTCCCAGATGGTGCTCTCTCCACAAGCAGCCAGGTCCATTGGCATCTGCAGTCACACTGACCCAGGGGTCCTCGGGCTGCAGCAGACTCCAGTCTGGGCATCAAACCTCCCGTGGCTGGAGCCCCTCACTCCAGAAAGCAGCCCAAGCTAATAAAGGGAGGGGCGTTTTAGACATCGTGCCCCCACGCTGGTTCCCTCTAACTGCATATCCAGCTCCCACCAAGATGAAAATTTACATTATTTTGCATTTTAAACAATTTATTAGTCTTCCAAAGAGTACTGATTGACAAGTAGCAATTAACAACGAAGTAATCAGTTGCAAATTGCCAATAATTGCTGTCATTTCAAGGGTGCGTTTTCCCCCTCCTCTTCATTTTCTTCTCTCTGCTCTGTCTCTGGTTTTTTAAGTAAGCCCTGTGCCCAAAGTGGGGCTTGAGCTCAGGACCCCGAGACCAAGAGTCGCACGCTCCACCGACGGAGCTGGCCGGGAGCCCCTCGATATCCCCAGTTTGGAACCCAGCCTTTGCCTGCCTCCTATTTATACAGCTCTGAATCTCACACCCAGCTCAGCATGGCATACAGCAAGTGCTCACTAACGACAGGTTGCCCGGTAAATACGCTCCGATGTCGTGGATAAGGGCTGACCCTGGGCTCAGGAAGCCAGAGTTCAGATATTGGCCGTGGCTTCTTGACTCTGTGACCACAGGAAAGTTACTTAACCTCTCTGGACTTCCGTTTCTTCCACTGTCTCTCATTAAGGTTGCCTGAGTATTAAACTAAAGTGCCCAGCACGTAGTCAATATTTAATCAATGTTAGCTATTTTCATGACTAATCTTTTTTTTTTTTTTTTAAAGATCTTCTTTATTTATTCGAGAGAGAGAGCTCACAAGTATGGGGTGGGGGAGGAGCACAGAGGGAGATGGAGAGGCAGACTCCCCGCCGAGCAGGGAGCCCGGCGCAGGACTCAATCCCAGGACCTCCGGATCATGACCTGAGCCGAAGGCAGACTCCTAACCGACTGAGCCCCCCAGGTGCCCCCATCACTGGGCTTAAGTGTATTCTACACTTTGAGTCAGGAGGGAACATGGCCGGTGCGTGGAGGGCCAGACTTCAAGGGCAGCCCAGAACATTGGCCCCAAACATTGTTCATTTATCTCTTCTGAGATCTCAGGGCCCTTTAAAATCTCAATTTATCCATTTTCACAGGAGTTCCTGGACCTAGGATGGAATCCGATGTGATTACCCTGGGAGGGCTTGTGACCTGCTCAAGGCTGCCCGCCAGGGTCACTCCCAGGCTGGAAATAGAAGTTGGCTCCATGGGCACCTCTTTGTCTTGGCAGCTTCCTCTTGGCAGAGACAGAGAGCCCTGGAGGGATGCAGCGAGTGCAGGGGTCAGTGAGCAGCCTTGATGGTGCTTTGTCCCCTCGGCCCCCCACGCGCAGGCTGGTGTCTCCTGCAGCCTCCTGTCCCTCTCCGAGCACTCAAAATAGTACTCCCTGACCCGCATTCACCGGGCGTGCTGGGTGGGCCGCCGGGGAGGGCGCGCAAGGCTGGAGCCACTCATTGCCCCCACTGCACTCACACCAGCTCCTGGGAAGGAACCCACAGTTCCCTTGCCGCTTCCGTAAGCAGGAGAAGTCCTCTACCGCCAGCCCCTTGCTCAAGCAGGCATCTAGGGACCGAGCCGGCCACCGCCCCGGCCACCACCCTGCGTGACTGCAAAAGCTCCCACCAGGAGAAAATCACATAATGAATCGCTGAGAAAACTCATCCTGTGTGTGTGTGTGTGTGTGTGTGTCTGTGTGTGTTCAGACCCCTCTCTGCTCTGTGTTTCTGCTTACAGAGCTCCTTGCTTTTACAATGATCACAGCTAATCATTTATGGAGTAGCACGTGGCATCCAGCCCCGGGGACCAGCCGGGCTGCTGGGGGGGTTGCTGCCCAAGGCACTCGGACAGAATGGGCAAGGAAGGAATAAGGTGACAGGGAAGGGACAGGACCTACGCTGGGGTCCCCTCCTCACCGAGGAGCGGTCCGAGCCAAGGCGGTGGCAGGAGACAATGGGAGAGCCCGGGCCGCCTGACTCCTTGTGGGTAGAGATGCAGAAGCAGGTGGGAAGCGGATCAGGGAGGACAAAAGGATCAACAGTGAATTCCTGAGCAGTCAGGAGACTCCTGTTGTCACAACACAGGTCTGGAGCCGAGCGTCTGATAACCCAGCCGTCCTCCTCCTCCTCCTCGGGGCGAGAGGCTGGGGCCGGCTCCTGAGCATCCGCGCATTGTCTCGGCGCCATGGGTCAGCCGCTGCCTCCGTAGAAACTTCTGGTCCACAGTTTCTGCTCTCAGGGCTTGTGTCTGCTCTTCATTGCTCTTCATGCAGAGAACATCACGCTCCATGTTCCTTTGGTCTCTGCCCTCTACTAGTTCGCAAAATGTGGCAGGACACACGGTGCTGCTTCTGGGAGGGAACGTGCTCGAACTCTCCTCTCAACGTCTGCCTGCCTCCGGCGCCTGGTTGCCTCTGTCAGTAGGGCGTGACTCCATCTCAAGGCCGTGGGTTCAAGCCCCACATTGGGCGTTGAGCCTACTTAAAAAATGAACAGACAAGAAATCAAAGTGTGCCTGCCTAGTGTTCCAAAATCTCATTTTTACCACTGGTAGTTAATATTCATATCAAATAACAAGAGCTATTTACTTGCATTTTATATGTATTTTTTTAAGATTTATTTATTTTAGGGGCACCTGGGTGGCTCAGTTGGTTGAGCAACTGCCTTCAGCTCGGGTCATGGTCCCGGAGTCCTGGGATTGAGTCTCACATCGGGCTCCCTGCTCGGCAGGGAATCTGCTTCTCCCTCTGACCCTTCCCCATCTTGTGCTCTCTCTCTCTCTCCCAAATAAATAAATAAAATAAAATATTAAAAAAAAGATTTATTTATTTTAGGGACGTCTGGGTGGCTCAGTCAGTTGAGCATCTGTCTTCAGCTCAGGTCATGATCGAGCCCCGCATCGGGATCCCTACTCCGCGGGAAGCCTGCTTCTCCCTCTCCCACTCCCCCTGCTCGTGTTCCCTCTCTCACTGTCTCTCTCTCTGTGAAAGAAAGAAAGAAAGAAAGAAAGAAAGAAAGAAAGAAAGAAAGAAAGAAAGAAAGAAAGAAAGAAAGAAAGAAGAGGAGAGAAGAGAAGAGAAGAGAAGAGAAGAAAAGAAAAGAAAAGAAGGAAGGATACCACTTTCTTTGAGCATCCATTCAGGTTTCATCATGAGATTGCAGCCCGTCAGTCCCATCCTCAGGCTCCACTCCTGATTCTAGTTCTCCTGCTCTTTCCTCCCCATCGGCAGCGACTTCCTCTCCTGAAGTTTTGAACCATCAATTTGTAAAAAAAACACAGTATCCGTGAAGCACAATGCAACTAGGTATGCCTGATAATAAACGCCCAGTACCTACTACTTAGATATTCAAATGTCACTCTTTCCACGTATTTGTTTCCGATTCTTTTAAAAACATTTTTCCATCAAGAAAGAACAAACATTACAGATAAGACTGAGGTCATTCCCATTTCCTTCTCTCCTTCCCTGGAGATGAGCTCTATCGTCCTATTGCTCTGTGGCCCTTCTAATTATTTTTTGTACTCTTATGACATATATAGAGAGAGAGACCCAAACATATTATGTAGGGATTTTAAATTGTTTAAATACACGGTAAAATAACATACATACCCCTTTGCAATTTTCTTTGATTTCATTCAATATTCATCTTACGTTTTGGAAATTCATCCGTAATTATACATAATATATTAATATGTATTGTATTTATTTTAACTTCTATATAGTATGTCCTTATATGAATATGTCATTAATTATTTCTCCATTTCAGGGGGTTTCAGCAATTATAAACAATGCAGTAATAGGCATCTACTGTGTGATCCAAATCTATGTTGTGCACCAGCACAAGACTTTTTTATTTATTTATTTTTAGTAATCTCTACACCCAACGTGGAGCTTGAACTCACAACCCCAAGACCAAGAGCTGCACATTCTTACAACTGAGCCAGCCAGGCGCCCCTGCCCAAGACTTTTTGAGGGATGTACGCTCAGAAGTAGACTCCTGGGTTGTAGGAGATACATGCTTCTAACAGATACTGCCAAGTTGCTTTCTGAGAATATGTTTTAAACTCTACATCTCCCCCAATACTTGATATTCCCAGACTTTCAAATCCTTGCCAATATTATGGGCATAACTGTCTTATTCTCTACTTTGCATTTTCCTGATCACCTGGGAGGGTGGACATAGGCCATTCAAATTTCTCCTTCTGGGAATGAAATTGGTTTATTTATTTTAAAATTTTATTTGTTTACTTTTTTTGAGAGAGAGAGAGAATGTTAAGCAGGCTCCACGCTCAGCACGGAGCCCCAGGCGGGGCTTGATCTCACGACCCTGAGACCAGGACCCGAGCCAAAATCAAGAGTCAGATGTTTAACCAACTGAGCCACCCAGGGGCCCCTGAAATTGCCTTTTTTAAATCTACCTTTTTTTCCTGTGTGGTTGGTAGGGTTTTTGTTTTTTTCTTTTTTAACTGATTTGCGGGAGTTGTTTATACGTTTTGGGTAGAAATCCCTTGTCAGTTACATGTGTTCTAAATATCTTCTCCCTTCTGTGGCTTGTCTTTTAACACTATTCACGGTGTCTTTAATTTTTCTTCTAATTATGAAAATGTTCGATCAACCACACAAGTTGAGAAAACAGTAAAATGAAACCATATCATCCATTACCCAGACTCAAATGTTAAAAGGTTTTGTCTCACGTGCTTTACCTCTTTTTTCTTTCTTATGTTTCTACTAACATATTTTACCTATTATTTTATTTTTAAGTCATCTCTACACCCAACGTGGGGCTCAAACTCACGACCCCACGGTCAGGAGTCACCCGCGCCTCTGCCTGGACCAGCCGGGCGCCCGCCGCTAATCGCAGACAGTAGGTCATGTCCCTCCCACATACCTCAGTAACACTGGTAGAGCGGTGGACACTTCGTAGTTACCACACCATGATGGCACCTATCAAAATTCACACTTACCCCTCATATCACCTACTACGTAGTGACCGGGGATACATGGAGGTTTCTCACTGGGCTTTAATTTTTCTGCTGCCAGACACATGTCCCACTGCCTGGCCTGGGGTGACGAGAGCTGTCCTTCTAGGTGAGGACGACCTGGGGTGATTCCACCTCCAACCCAACAGGTGCTCTTTTCCAGGAACCAGCAGCCTTTCTACACCTGGAGGGACACACGAGCCACCTGCGGCCACTTGAGCTGCTATTCTCCTGACACTTCTGTTAGAAAGTAGCCTTCGGGGCGCCTGGGTGGCTCCATCGGTGAGTGTCTGCCTTCGGCTCAGGTCACGACCCCAGGGTCCTGGGATCGAGCCCCACATCGGGCTCCCTGCTCCACGGAGGGCCGGCTTCTCCCTCTCCCACTCCCCCTGCTTGTGTTCCCTCTCTCGCTGTGTCTCTCTCTGTCAAATAAATAAATTTTTTAAAAAGTTTCTTAAAAAAAAGAAACAGATGTTTACTGGAGGGGAAAAAGGCTTGAATACAAATACTAGGATAGGGCTTCTCAAATGTGTGTGTTGTGTAATTCCCTTGACTCGGAGCAAGTCTGTGGCATTCTCCCTATACTGCTTAACACGGGAAAAGACCCCAAATCACTGGAGCAGCTTTGGATAAGACACCAGTGAGGTAATGTCTGGTTTTTGTTAAATATCCCAAATAGATTACTCACTCTTGCTAGATAAAAGGTAAAGACACTGTCGTGTTCTAAACACAAATCCTGCGGAAAACAACCCCCCCCCCGCCCCGTCCTGCACTGGGGAGCCTCGGGGCTGTCCCAAGACCACAGGTGAACCCTCCTGACAGCAAAACCAGTCGGCTCTGGGACCTTTGCCAGCTCCTTTCCCTGGGACCCAGGCCACCAGGGAGAAGGGGGATGCTCGTTTCCCACGTGGTCTCCTCTCAAGAGTGCAGGGCAAGTGCTCTAGCCTCCAGGGGCCAGAGTCGGACCCCAAAGCCTGCAGACAGCAACTCTTGCCCTCAGGGCCTTCAATCCTGTGCCTGGGAGCAATTCCTTCCATTTAAAAAGCACTTTGTGCAGTTGTTTTTTAAGATTTTATTTCTTTATTTGACACAGAGAGAGCAAGCACAAGCAGGGGGAGCGGTAGAGGGAGAAGCAGGCTCCCTGCTGAGCCAGGCGCCCGATGCGGGGCTCGATCCCAGGACCCCGGGATCATGACCTGAGCTGAAGGCAGACGCCCAACTGACGGAGCCACCCAGGCGTCCCAAGCATTTTGCAGTTCACAAAGAATTTCCACGTGCATTGTTTCAACTCACAAGAACTTTGCAAGAGGAGCAGAGAATAGTGAGGCTCAGATCAGTTCAAGGACCAGGAAGGGCCTCCAAACGGGGAGTGTGGACCCCAAGGCCACAGCTGTTTCCCTGCACCCACTGAGGGGGTTTAGAGGCCTGGGAGAGGCTGACAAGAGGGCAGGGACTCACTTTCTGGCCCCAGGGGTGGGTCCAGGCCCAGACTAGCCCCGCCAACCTGCCAGGGGACCCTCTGTCCTGTCCACAGCTGCCCAGGGCTGGGCTGGTCAGTGCTTCTGTTCTGCAGGGAGACTAACCAAGAGCCAGGGCAACGGATCACCTTCCCCAGGGTCCTCACTTGCCGCCAAGTCCACCCACGCGCTCTCTTACCCTCTGCGGTGGGGCCCTTGAAATGTCATTTCACAACGTCCTGCCCGACCTCGGGGTGGCGGTTGGTAATCCCGTTAGCATCGGCCCGGCTCCCAAACAGGCTCTGCGGCAGACTTACTCCTCCCGCACACTGTTGCCAGGACGGCTGGCCTGGAATCTCGGTGGCAAGCCTCAGACGGTGCCCAGAAGCTTCTCCGGGATGTGTGAGGGCAGCCCGCGAGGGTGAGCAAGCAACCAGCTGACGCTTGGGCCACCCCGCCCTGTGTGAACCCTCCTCCCCCACCCCCCTACAAGCCGGCTGTGTGCAGGGGGACCTGCACTGAGGGGCTGGGCTGGAGGGTGCTCTGGGGACTGTTCGCTCAACCCCTCGGAGCACCTCGTTCCTGCGTCCCCTCCCCTAAGAGCCTCAGCGAGGCTTTCCGTGCTCCTTGGGGCTCCCAGGCCCTCCTCTGAGGACATCACCAGCCTCCCATGGGGGCAAGAGGTTTTAGTAATCCGGACCTAAATAGCGTGGAAACGCGGTGAATCCTCAAGGGGCAGAGCAGCACCCCAGGGGTACCTGCAAGCCTGAAGCCAGACCAGAGTGCCTGCCTCTGTCACCCCCATTCCGCTGGCCGCGGCCAGGGGCGCGGGGCAGAGCAGAGAGTCACAGTCACCCAGGGGTTGCACTGCGCAGGTGACAAGGTGATTATTTTTTTAAAGATTTCATGTATTTGACAGACAGAGACACAGCGAGAGAGGAACACAAGCAGGGGGAGTGGGAGAGGGAGAAGCAGGCTTCCCGCCGAGCAGGGAGCCCGATGGCAGGGCTCGATCCCAGGACCCTGAGATCATGACCTGAGCCGAGGGCAGACGCCCAACCGACTGAGCCACCCAGGCGCCCCAAGGTGATTATTTTAATAGAAACACTTTTTACATATGTTCTTTCTCAATCCTTAGACTACAACTGTGCCTGGAACACAGTAGATGCAAGTGTTGCTTTCTCCGGATAAGGCTGGAAGGGAAAGTCTGATCCCCACTTGACAAAGGAAGCAGCCAAGGCCTAACTGTTCAAGGTTAAATATGCACAGGAGGGGACCCCAGCCTCAGACGCAGCGCTCCTGGCCGCGCACGTCCAGCCCCAGGACCCCAGGACGCCTCTCGAGCCCTTCATCCCATCCGTCCTCCTAAACCTCTCAACTGGGCACCGCCTCACTGCCCCCGGCCCAGTTCTGGGCAATTCGGATCAGTTCGCCAGCCCAGTCCTCACAAAGTATGGAGGAAGGTAGCCTGTTCTCATTCTGTGCAGGAGGAATCGGATGCCTGTGGGGGCCGAGTGATTTCCCCAAAGGGCACAGGGGCCGTCCGGCTCCCAGGTCCGTTGGGTGGGCGCTGTGGTCCTGAATGCCCCCCCACCTCAGACACCGGTCAGGGGTTCCCTCGAAGGTCCTGCGTCCAGCACCCAGTATGTGCTCACCAACTCTCTACTGAGGAAGCACCAGACAGCTGGGAAGGGGGGAGGCCACAGAAGGCTGTCCACTGAGCTGACACTTTCCAGGTCTACCTGGGCAGGAGCTCCTTCCTCTGCTTTTCCCAAGACCCTAAACAGCCGCAAAACAGTCCATCCTCTGGGGCACCTGGGTGGCGCAGTCGGATTAAACGTCTGACTCTTGGTTTCAGCTCAGGTCGTGATCTTGGGGTCGTGAGATCGAGCCCCACACTGGGCTCCACGCTGAGCGCGGAGTCTGCTTGGGATTGTCCCTCCCTCTCCTTCTGCCCCTCCTGCTCGTGCTCTCGCTCTCCAAAATAAACAAATCTTAAAAAAAAAAAAAAAACGCAAAACGGTCCCTCCTCTGATGGAGTCTGAGTGACCAGCCCCTCTAAAGGCAGTACCAGCTGCTGGAGCCCCAGCCCGAGGTCCAACTTCAGTCCCCGGGACCACACACTTCTGTGTCTGGGCCTAGAATCAATGGGCTCCCCGCAAAAGCTGGAAATGTGACTCGCAGCTTCTATGCTGACGGGCCAAGGTGGACTCAAGTGCTGAGGACTTCCCAGAACGTCCTGGTGAATCAGAGGCTCAGGTTGGGACAAATCCAGAACATGTGCCCACAAAGGGCCGCAAGGTGCACATGGAGACCTCATCTGAGCCATCTGGTCTGGAGGGACGGGGGCCTGGAAACCGCCCAGAGAGCAAACTTCTCTGGGGGAAATGATGAGTCAGCTTGGCCCAGAAACTAAAGCCTTCCCTGAAGGCCTCTGCCACAGACCCCGCCGAAGCTCTTCTTGGAGGAGCCAGAGGGGGGTAAGCCCAGCTACAGAGGACCCTGGAATCCGGAGCGCGAAGCCGTCTGGTCCCAGGCTCAGCCAGGACATGGGTGGGCACAGACCTGCAGGGCGGGGAAAGCGACATGGCTGTGCTGGGGGGCAGCGTGGGGTGCGGGCGAGCAGGTCCCAGCCAGCCAGACACGCCAGGCAAGATGGGACAGGATGGCAGGCCGACAGGGACGACTCAGCCTTGGTCCTGGAGAACAACTTCCTTCTGTGTGTTTCCCTCCCGGCCACAGTCACTGCTGCCTGCAAGAAAGCACAAAGCCAACCAATTACCAGGTCTAATTATCTGCCTTCAGCCTCCTGCTGGCATCGGCCACCGAGGCTCTTGCCAAAATGCTGCTTCCCCAACACCCTGATCCAAAAGGCCCCACGTCGGCAAGAGAAGGCTCTGCCGGCCCAGACCAGCTGTAAGGTTTCCTCACCACCGGGACAGGCCACAGGGGTTCAGCTCTCTCCCTGGAGCCCCTGGGCCTCGGCGTCGGCCCCCAGAGAGGTGATGGCGCCGGCCCCCTGGGACTGCGGCAGAAAATGACAGAGCAGCAATGATGGTCAGGGAGGGGAGGCAGCTTCCACAGGCCTGATTGTGCTCGCAGCAGTCAGGGCTTGCCCAGGGCTGCGCCTGGGCCTCGGGGCCCAGCACGGCTGGGAGATGGGCCGGCGCGCTCCAGGGGATGCGGGGAAGCCCTGCGGGTGCCGTACCGTGGCCTGGCCACATTTCCTTGCCCTTCCAAAGCAGCCGTCCCACCTCTGCCCGTGGGGGGCCTGAGACCTGTCGGTCTCTTCCTGCCCCGCACTGAGGCGCCCTCCGACTGGCGCGACCACGGGCCAGCCTCCAACCCCAGTGGCTTCGAGGACCATGTGGAGGCTTTCGAAAGCAGGGAGTCGAGGGGAAGGTGGCTGGCCCCTCAGCCCCCAGCCCTGCAGCCCAGGGGACCCGGACCAGGTGCCCGTCACTGGGCAGTTCTGAAACTAGAGAAGAAGCGGGAGTGACTTGGGGCTGCAGCATGGAGAGCGGGGTGCAGAAGGTGCAGAGGGTTCTAGGGACCCGTTGGGTCTGTGCAGATGCCATTCCGGCCCTGCGCCAAGGGATGGAGGGACTGCCGGCAGCCTGGGGGCCATCAAACCCCAATGGAAGGAGGGAGGTGCCGGTGACTCGGCCCCAGAAGAAAGGAGGTCTAGAAGCCCAGACAGACATGTTTCTCAGCCCCGACCCCACGCGTGCGACAGCTCATCCATCTTGGCACACATGCCTGAGAGGTCTCTGGGGATACAGAAATCCCCCTGGCCAGTGATTTAAAAAGAATGTCTTCCTACAAACTGTGGTGGGGGTAATTTCTCCATGTGTCATCATGCTGGTCATCAGCAAGTACCGACCCACTGTGCAGGACAGTCCGAGGTATTTGGTTACGAAGGTCAGCGCCTGCCCCCCACCCCCAGCCCTACGTCCTGAAGATGGACCATAAAGGCCAGCAAAGCTGGGCACCTGAGTGGCTCAGTCGGTTGAGCGACTGCCTTCGGCTCAGGTCATGATCTCAGGGTCCTGGGATTGAGTCCCACATCGGGCTCCCTGCTCAGTAGGGAATCTGCTTCTCCCTCTCCCTCTGCCTGCCGCTCCCCGCTCATGCTGTCTCTCAAATAAATGAATAAATCTTAAAAAAAAAAAAAAAAAAAAAAAAGGCCAGCAAAGCTTAGCAGGAGCCTGAGCGGCTAGACACCCCCGCCTTGCACCTGGTCACATGCAAGGGGACACACAACACCCACCTTTGCACACTTTATTCCTTGCCTCTTTGGCGGGGACTGGAAGGCTGGGTGAGGTGGGAAGGGGGAGAGTGTCTTAGGAGGAGCCGAGCGTGCCTGCCAGAGTGAGAGCAGGGTGCTGTGGGTGAGGCTCCCGGGTCTGCATGGGGAAGGGGCCAGGGCAGTCTCCACTTCCCCTGGGCCTGGGCTGAGCTTCTCACACTGTCCCTCTGGAGCTCTGGCCTCGGCGGGGGTCCCTTTCTGCCCCCTTGCTGCAGTGAAGGCTGGGGTTATCAGCACCCTGCTCCCCGCGGCCCCACACGAAGCTCCTCCAGCAAAGACACTGTCAAGACAGGGTGGGGTGGGACAGAAGCACGCTGCCCTCCACGCCTCCGAGGCCACTGCCCCCTTCAGCACTCTCTCCCGGGCGGCCACGCTGGGCCACTCTACTACCAAGCTCACCAAACTCCAGGTACCCCAACCTCCCCCGGGGGAAGGGTTGCACCTGCTCCCCGAAAGCTTGTCTCTGTGCCTTTGCTCACACCCTCTGCCTCCAAAAACCTGGCCCTTCCGTCTATCATCATCGAACTCCAGCGCCCCTGTGCAGCTTTTCCTGCTTCCCATCCCAGTGCGCCTTGTCCGCTCAGCACAACTGTGTGACCTGATGGTACATGCCGCTCATTACAGCAAGCCCTGGCCCACACGCCGACGTTTCCGTGCTGGGGCCACCCCCCTGCCCCACAAAACCCACGTGAGTACGAGGTAGGCGCCAGGAGTGTGGACTGACCAGACTGAACGACTGAGCACAGAACCGCAGCTGGGACTGGTCAGGAGTCCGCAGTCACCGCCTCCCGGCCACCCAGAGGGTTTCCGAGGCCCAGCCCGCAGCCGAGTGGAGATGTCCTCTGATTTATTAATTAATGCAAACACAGTTCACCCAAATGCTCCAGGGCACGGTTAGGAAAAAATCCGGCACATTTAAAAAACGATAAAAATAACATTTACCAGCCTAGAAATACCTCCCCGGCCTTTCTTCCCAGCGCCGTTACCCCAGCCTCCCAGGCCCTCCACCCCCCCCCCCCCCCCACCGGGTTGTCCCGTTGACCCGCCACACTTCTTCAGTGACTAACAGAACTCCTGCCGGCGCGCTAACTGGGTTACTGCGGAGGCTCTCCGGCCGGCCCAACCCTCCACGCGGGCTGCTTTCCCACTACCTGCGTCTCATCTGTTCCAGCTCCCTGATTTGCAACAACAACCTCCATTGTCCCCCACATCTGCGACTCTGGGTTTCAAGTGAATCTCCCTGAGGCAGGGAACAGAAGATGCTGCTATTTTGGTTTGTCTCGCGGACAATGGGGCCATTCTCCGGGGCTGCAGGCAATGCAGGGGAACCTGAGCCCTGATGGGACCCGCCAGGTGGGGAGCACACAGGAGTAAAATTCTGACCTTTTCTTCCCAGCTACTTGGGTGTACTCATGCCAATCAATTTCAGATGCAACTGACAAGCCGGGAGCCTGGGGATCTTGAGGACGCCGGCCTCTGGCCTCGGTCTCTAGAACAGCCAGCAGAGGGCTGGGGCAGGTCTGACCTGGCCTGACCCAGCATCCCCCAGAGAGGGCAACGTTGAGGGTGTTCTTCCCACCCCCAAGGCTCAGTCATTGCCTCTCAACACCTCCCCCCCCCCGTTGTTGTTTCTGAGATGTTTTCGTTCTGCTTAAATCGGTTTCATCTGAAAGAGATCATTACCTGCCGAGGGGCACCTGGCCGGCTCAGTCAGAAGAGCGAGCTACTCTGGATCTCAGGGTAGCGAGTTCGAGCCCCACACTGGGCGTGGAGCCTACTTAAAAAAAGAGAGAAAGAGATCATTACCTGCCCAATGGACGGCAATGTCAGCATTCTTGGAGTGGGATGCACCTGGGACAGCCTGAGACAGGCTCCAGGAGCTCTGAGACGCACCTGGGGGTGCCTTACCCGCGGGGGTGGCGTGCAGGTTCTCACACCTGCCGTGGTCTCTGCACCCCTCCCCCCCCCTTCAGCCAGGCTCCTGGAAGGAGCTTTGTCTCTTAGAGAACTTCTCTACCTTTGCCCCTCCCAGCCTCCAGGTAATCCTACTGTCCCCAGGCAGTTCCCAGGGCTTGGGACCCCAGGCTCGGGGAGTGCTGAATGTGGGCCCCCGGGGTAGCCCTGGGCTACTCCCCCTGACACACGGGGACACAAGCTTAAGGCATTTTATACAGTCACACCTTCTATCATTGGGTCTGGACCTCTGACCGGCCAGCCCCCACACCCCAGGGAGGAGAGGGGACACTTAGATCTGCCCGGCTCCCCAGTGCGCCTCAGGTCGCAGCTGCAAGTGCTCCAGAAAGGCTCCTTCCGTGTTGCCTTCAGCTCTGATTATTTGTCACCTCGCCTTACCCATCCCCTCTGCTCTCGTTAGCGTGCAAGCCTCTGCGCTCAGCTCTGTGCTTGCCGCGGCACGGGACAGGGGCTCAGTACCTCCTTAATCAATTCCACTGGGTGGGAAGTTCCTGGCGAACACTTAGGCGCCCGGGCTGTCTCCCGAAAGGAAGTGTTGACTGAGCAACATGTAACCAAAGGCACCCGAAGCGACGATGCTGGGAGGCTGGCTCCCCGGGTCCCCTTCCTGCAGGGACGGCTCCCCGCGACTGTCGGCACACCACTGCCCCCCACTGGACACGGGGCGATGCAACCGCCTTCACAGCTCCTTCCTGCCCCGTTCCGGACACAGCTCCCAGCCCAACCGGTTTCTCGGTGGGCTCCTCTCCCCACGATCACTGTCTCCGCCTGACTGCTTTGCTGTGACTCCGTGTCACCCAGGAAGGTACGCAGAACAGCGGATGCTTGGAGTCCCGGCACGTCGCGGGTCCCGTGAACACTGCCTGAAAACCAAGGCGACCCAGAGTCGCTGGCAAGCCGGCCGTACTGCGGACTGTTACTGTGATGATGAACCCTCTCCTTTGGGGAAAGATCAAGGGCAGGGAAAGCACACAGGTACCGCCAGGTCCTGGGGGTCAGACTGCTCCCTCCTTCCGGGACACTCTTCCTCTCTTCTATTACAGGGATTCGTGAATTTGCCTGATTATTTCCGCCCTGACCCCACTAGCTTGTAAGTACTTTGTCCAGCCCAATGACTGCCTGTAACGCCCAGGGACTCAATTCCTGGCAACAGGATAGGAGTGGCTTAATTTGCCAACAGCAACGGTAAAATAAACGAAAAAGAAGGCATCACGCATATCGCTTATACGTTGCGTCAGTTTGCCGAGAAGTTAGGTTCATCTCTCCAAATGGAACTGGGGTTAGCCCAGGGCCTGGCAGGCATTTGGATACAGGAATCAGGCTCAGGGAGGAGGGCGGCCCTGAGCAGAAATCCGGGAGTGGCGCAGCATGGCCCCGGGGTTAACTATGGTGGGAGGTGAGCGCGAAGCCTGGTACCTCGGGACCGCTGCTGGAGGAACTGGGGGCCCTGGGGGCCAGCACAGAGCCCCATGGGGAGAAGGAGGGCAAGGGGCAATGAGGTCAGAAAAGCCAGGGGCCTGTAAAGTTTTCAGGACGATGGGTGGCCAGTGGCCTGGAGTGCAGCTGAGTAGGCAAGAAAGGCTTGAGAGTCGTCTGCGGGAAGGGCGACATGGAGGTTAGTGGGGACCAGCTCAGGCTGCAGGGTGGCCGGATCTCCGCTGCCGATGGGATCGATGGGGGATGGGGGGAGACCCCGAGGACAGGAGAGCAATCAAGGAGGTCACTGGCACAGGCCAAAGGACAAAGGCTTTTGGTTTCGACTGGGCACCCAGGCTTGGCTCCACCAACCCAGCTCTGCTATTGCTACCAGTTGCAATTTCTAAAAACCAAAATTAATCATACCACTTCCTGTTGTGATTAACACACCTGCTGGCTTGCCACTTGCTGGCCAATGAGAGCAAAGTCCTGTGCCAACCCGTGGGGTATAATTTATTCTCAGACTTGGTTTCTTTCTCTCGCTCTCTCTTTTTTAAAAGACTTTATTTTTTAAGTTCTCTACACCCAGCCCCCAGAGCAAGAGTCGCAAGCTCAACCGGCTAAGCTGACCAGGCGCCCCTCAGACCTGGAGTCTTTATCACCTAGAAAGGAGAGTTGCACAGATCCATAATCCCTTGCCCAGAATCCTTGCGGCCACGTGTGTTTGGGAATTCACAGCTTGTTGGATTCCACAGAGGGAGGATGGCGCACCTGCCATATGCCACGTGAAGCCACTGGGCTCCACCCTGTCCTCAAACACGCCGAGTGGGACAAATAAAGGCTCCAAACCACCCTCCAAGAGGTCAGGTCAAGTTTGCTACCAATGGAGTTACTAAGATGCTTTTGTTTTTCTGAGCTTTTCCGATTTTCAGAATTGTGATAAGGGCTTGAGGCCCACCCTGTCGGGCTCGTTTTAACGCCCAAATAGAGGTACGTGTGAGTGTGAAAATGAAGCCAAGTGCAATTTATAAAGGGTAGCCTTTCTGAAGCCATTGCTCTACAGCTAGAAAAATAACCTGCTTCAGAGAATGCATCGAGCATAGCTGGGGACGCCAGAAGTTTCCAGGGCAGGGCCCCTAACTTCTTGCTCATCCTGGTTTGTCTGTCTTCAGGGGCTGGAGCTGGGCCAAGCTCAGGGAAATCCCTGCTCTCGAAGCCGTGGTCTCTAGGAGGCAGGGACGGGGTCGGCCTTGCACTTGCCCCGGTAGGCACCTGACATACGGGATGTTCCTCATTGTGACAGAGGGCAAGGGTGGCACTGTCTCAAGTCCTACTGTCTTCACCTTCGGGCAAAAACCCCTCCTCCCAGAGGGTCACTCGTCCCGACTCTGCCCTCTCGGCCCCTCACTGCTGTTTTCAGGGGCTCCTCCACCCCATTCTCAGTAACTGGGCCCCTGGCTCTTAGTCTTCTTTTTTCATCCCATCCTCTGCCTGACTCGTAAGTGACGTTCATTAAGAGAGGACAAGTCAGCCTCACCAGGAACAACAGCTCCTCTGAAATCTCATCCGACGTCCTCGACACCTGCTCCCTTAACCTCTCTCTTCTGACCCGATTAAGTACCCACCTACCTAGCCTGGCTCCCATGATTTATCCTTTCAACCACGCACCCGCCAGTACCTTCAACATCTCTGTCCCCTTGTCCTTCTGCCTCATGCACCCTACAAATTCCTACTACCTGTCTTTTGCACTGCAAGACCCAGGCTTCTGGATGGTACTGGAAACAGACCCTAAAGTGTGCAGATCAGGGCTCTTCCAGGAGTAGGATCTCCAACTTCAACTGGGTCTTCAGGTCTGCTTGACATGCTGTCTTTGAGTTTCCTTACTCATTTCTCCGGCTTTTCCAAATCCTCTCCTCAAGGCTCCGAATCCACGCTTGCCCTCCTACGTACATCTTCACTTACACATCACTCACCTTTTCCTCCTTCCCCACCACCCCCAAGCAGCCAGGAGCCCCCTCCTGTTTGCATCTGTGCCTCTGGCCCTCCCCTTCATGTTCTCCCTGAGATCTTCCTCTCCTCTTTCTTTGTGGTTTTAATCCCTCCAGCTCTTAACGATTCTTTCTCTGAAAGTTACAAACAGACACACACTCTTTCCATCTTAAAAAATAGCTCTCTTTTGGGACACCTGGGTGGCTCAGTCGGGTAAGCATCTGACTTTGGATCTCAGCTCAGGTCTCGATCTCAGGCTCGTGAGTTCAAGCCCCTCGTTGGGCTCACACTGGGCATGGAGCCTACAAAAAAAGGAAAAAGAATACTCTTCCTTCACCAATGTCTTCGGCCCATGTTCTGATCTCCTCTGTTTAAGGCTGAGCTCTATGAAGAAGAGTATGAAGCAGCTGCCTCCACCTTTCCGCCCCTCCTGCTGCTTCCCGTCAATTCCACCCAGACCCCAATCTAACTGAGGCTCCTCTGGCCGAGCTCACCAACCACTACGATCCACTGACTCATTTCAGTTCTTTGTACTTGTGCCCTCCTTCTGCCCCCTGAGATCACTGACTGGTCCCTCCTCGGAACCTGCTCCTCCCTCACATCGCAGACCCTCCTGGCCTCCTGTTATCTCTCTGATAACCTCTCCTCTGCCTCTTCTGTGGGCTCTGCTCCCTCTCTCTTCTCTCACCCTTGTTCATGTTGCTGTTTCCTGGGGCCTGTGTTAGTCTCCTTTTCTCCTGCTGTGTCCTCCCTGGAGGAAGGCTCCACGACGCCCTATCTGCTGCTGACTCCTATTTCTGGTCACTGCTGGAGTTTCCCATGGAGACAGATGGCGCCACCCGCTCAGTCTTCCCCAGACTCCCCCTGAGGCTGCTCCGTTTTTTCCCCTGTGCTGGTACCACAACCTCCCCCAGCCTGGGTGTCCCTCCACTCTCTCCTGCGTACCCCACGGGACTCTCCAGGTCCATCCCTAATCCGTCTGCTCCTCTCCAGTCCTAGGCTAGTGCCCTAACCAGATCCATGGCTCTTATGCCTGTATTAGGCCCGAGCAGCGTAAGGGGCCTCCCTGCCTTTGGGTTTGCACTATTGCCCTTCTGTCCCGGTGAGCAGCCGGAGCCCCGTAAATGCAGTGGACAGGAAATCTAGAGTCGCAGAAAGCAGATGGGTGATCGTGGGGGGCAGGGGTGGGCGTGGGGGATTAAATATAAAGGAGCATAAGGGACCGTTTGGAGATGAAGAAATGCTTCAAATCCTGATTGCGGTATTGGGCATATTGGTAAGTGACAACTGGGTACACACACGCGCTTGTCGAGATGCGTCAGACTGTACGTTTACAACCGGTGTGTTTTAGTGTACGTAGAATATACCTAGATAAGCTTGATGAAAGCCAGATACCCTTCCTTCCAGGCCATGTTGCCTGGAGAGCCAAGTTCAAATTTCTTCCCCAGGCACGGGTCCCCCAGCCCTAAGCACGCGCACTCTGCGTACCGCTGAGATCTGGAAGGGGCCTAGCGTCCCGGCCCTCCCGCGGAACAGCCGCGTCCCCCGACACGGCTTGCGCGCCGCCCCGCCCCCCTACAGGCGACCGTGCTTCCTTTGGGGTCCAGCGAACCGACATAGATGCCCATCGCACAAACTTTTTGGCGGCGCTCCTGCGTTTCTGTCCCCCACCCCCGCGACTTTGCTAGGCTGCGGGGTGTCAGCTGGACCCTGCCGCCCCCAGGCCTGTGTCTCCAGTGCTTCGCAGCCAGCCGCTGCGTCGTGGTCGCAGGACCCCGGCCTTGACCACGCAGTCCCGCCGGAGGGACAGCGGGCCGACACCGCCGCCCCTCTCCTCCAGTCCTGAAGGGGGCGCTGTGGCAACCTCACTCCTGTCTCCTCGCTCTCGACTTCTCCCGGCGAGCTCCCAGAGCCGCTCGCTCGGGGCTCCGCCCCTCCTGGAAGCATCCCTCCTTCCCATTGGGCGAGGGCGGGCCGGGCCGTCCAATGGGACGAGGCATTGGTGCGAGGAGGCGCCGCCATCTTCGGGCCGCTGGGCCCCCGCACCGGTCTCCGGCAGCCAGAGATAGGTGGTAGGTGGGCCGGATCTCGCCGCCTGCGGTCCCCGGCCTAGCCCGCTCGCGCTCCGCTGCCGACCCACGATGCCGCAGTATCAGACCTGGGAGGAGTTCAGTCGCGCGGCCGAGAAACTCTACCTCGCCGACCCTATGAAGGTAAATGCCCGCGGGGCCGCTGCCTCTGCCCCGGTCGGGAGGTCTTCCCTGCGGTCCGCGCGGTCTCCGGAACTTCTCCAGCCCCGCCAGGAGGTGCTGGGGGTGAGCGGAGACGGACCCCGCCAGGTGTCGTGGTTCCCGCTGCCCCCTCCCGGAGGAGCGACGGGACGAGGCCCGGAAACCGGGTCCTCGCGGGGCCCCAAACGGCCCTGCTCTGCCTTCCCCGCCCCCAGCCCTGAACTTCCCTGCGGCCGCGGTTGGTTTACGTGTCTCCAAGGGTAGGGCTCCTCCCCCTGCGGCTGCGGCCTCCGGACCCTCAGTGCTCTCGGAGCCCCTTTTCCGTCCTTCCGCGGTGTGTATGAGACTTTTGCACCCTTTCCTCAGGAAAATGCTTTTAAATATAAATGGTGGCAGTTTAGGGGCTCATCCACGGCCCCCACAAGAATTAGGATAAGTGGATGCCAATTGCTGAAGAGCAAAGGAGTCCAGATGACGGGAATTGAAGCATTCGGGTCTCGATTTTTCTTCTCTCGAGTTTTTGTTTCGTTGTCCTGTCCAAGGATTATTTAGATAGCTCCTTGCTAACTAAAAGTCCTGTTAAGTTTCTAGACCTAGATACACAACAAGAAGTTGTGAGGCAGTGTTCGTCCATTCTTTACAGTAAAATGAAATAAGAGGTGATGGCATGAGTTCGGTACTTTTGAAATCGAGCGTTTTGCTTATGACACGATTTCCAGCTCCTCCATCCGGTTGACGCCCAGTGTTGGTGGGGACGTTTGTTTCTCCGTGCAGTGCGCTGTGAAAACGATCCAGGATTTTTGTCCCGAAGTACCCACACCGTACGCAAAATATCTGAAAACAGAGTAAAGAGTGTAGAAATTCACAGGAGTAATCATATTTTAGCTTAGTTTAATAGGGAAATGACCACAAGATGGTCCTTACAGCGTATTAGTCTAGGATACGCAGGGTGGAGAGCGAGCCTTTCCTCTCTTCACCCCACAGGAAAGTCCAGGGCCCGGAAGCTTCTGCGGGTTTTCGACTGATGTTGTGATAGGTGAGGGGCGCTTGGCTAACAGTTCTGTGGAGTGCCTTCTGTGGGACAGGCATTTTACACTGCATACCTTACGTGTTTCATTCATGGGAACAGTCAGGACAGTTCCTTGAGGTAAATGAATAAACAGCCTTTGATACATTAAATGGATTGCCTGGTCTCTAAAAGATGAAGCTAGAATTTCAACCCGTTCTCTAAACCCCAAGTCTGTGCTGTCTGTGCCAGAGCTAAAGAAGTTTTGTCAAGACTCCTTGGAATCTATTTTAGAGAATTCTCTGTCTTCTCTCCCACCCTCCTGAGCCTGTTGAGTACACATGTCACCTTTTACCATTTCTCTTGCATTGCTCTCACTGAAGATGGTGTTCCTGCTGGACAGTGTGATAACCTCTGTCTTTCTGCCTTTTTTTTTTTTTAAGATTTTTATTTATTTGAGAGGGAGAGAGAGAGAGGATGAGAGAGAGAGAGAGCATGAGGGGGGGAGGGTCAGAGGGAGAAGCAGACTCCCCGCCGAGCAGGGAGCCCGATGCGGGACTCGGTCCAGGGACTCCAGGATCATGACCTGAGCCGAAGGCAGTCGCTTAACCAACCAAGCCACCAAGGCGGCCCTCTTTCTGCCTTTTTAATCACTCCTTTGCTAATGCCACAACTGTCTAAAACAAAAATGGAATTCTCTCAGCTTCCTACTTAAGTACTGGTTTTTCGTAGATTGCCGGGTAAAGTCCAGACTCCCTGTCCACAGTCGGACCCTCTCCAGTCTTTCTGGGTTTGTCTTCCCACTGTACCCACAATCCTCAGCTCTAGTCTCATGAAGTTACAGATTTTAGATCTTCATTCACACTGCTCCTTCAGCTTCTCTCCCACCCTCTTCCTTAAGAGAAAAAAGCTTGCGTTGGCAAAGCCACCTTTAGGAAGCCTTTTTACACTTCCCCATCCCCAATTTAAATTACTTGTTTTCTCTTTTAGCATTTTACCTGTGTATGCCTTTATAAAAGGACTTAACTCATGTGTCTTGTGTTGGTTATTTTGGTTGGTTGAATTCAAAGTTCCTAAGAGAGCAAGAATCTTGATTGTTTTTTCTCTCTTTGTGGCATCTGACCTGGTCACATAGGTGCCCCCTCAGTTACAAAATAGACCCTTTTATAATACCGTAGAGCTTTTAACTCTCACTTCTCCTCATGAAGCCAGCCATTCTTTCAACCGAGAGTTAAGATTTTACATGGTTGTCATGCTTAGCACATTTTAAAGTTGCTTTTTGTTTCTGGAGAACTGAATTTTTTAAAACATGTAGAACTGAATTAAATAACCCAGTATATAGAATCTGGCATCTAAAGATAATCTAGTTGTTGTAATTTATGTAAGTGCTTGCTGAGTTCCCTTTTCCCCTTCACCAAAACAAATCTCAGAGTGGTGTGCCCCCCCCCCCATCCCAGGAGAGCAGAGACATAATGGGAAAAGCTGTAGGTTACAGCTCTTCATAGCGCTTTTTCTTTAGTTTCCAGAATTGTCTTGAGGCTTCTGGTTCTACACTGTGACCATTTTAAAATTATGTTCCTGTTTTGGCCTGTAGGTAGTCGGCACTTTGTTTAAAACAGCTAGCTATTTATGTTGGTCAGCAAAAAACGGACTCTGCCGCAGTACACTATTTCGAATCCATCACTTAAAAAAATAAAAATGATGTTTCCAGAAGTTGTAAACTCTATTGGGAGATGTTTTCTTGTAGATAAATCATTTTCTTGGTTCCCTAACTGTAGAATACTGAACAGCAAAAGGTATTGTGTAGCATGGTGCTCAACATAGGAATTATTTTGGAAGAGTTCTCGATGGAGACTTCTTCTCAAGACAGAATCCTGCTTTTCTGTCCTAGTACATTGTCTGGTGCCATCATGATAAGGACGTGACTTCGCTGAATGCTTGAGTCCGAATCTACCTCCTGATAGCCACGGGGTAGGGGACAGCATGAACTGTGACTGCCGTATTTCTTGCCACACGGATTTGGACTTGCATAGGCCTGTCTGCTGTTTTCCCCCCTACTTTTTCTATCATTTCTCTGCGGTTGGGTTGTGGGTATTGTGAGGGAAGGAAAAATATTCTCCTTTACTCTCTTAGGTTTAATAGTTGGGGCCCTGCAAATTAAACTGATAAAAGACAGGTTAACAAGAGAGAAAACCCGACATATGTATGCAGTATGCATGGAGTTCACAAAGCATTTGACTTGAGGCAGTTAGAATTGGGCCTATGTACCATCTTAACAAGGCTGATAAAGTGTGGGAAGAGGGTGGATTAAGGAAAGGGGGTTTGGGGCTTCTACGGAGGAAGTAAGTTGTGGGAAGGTGATTAGTAAGGACTGTTACACAGATAAGAGCCCTCCTTTTCCCAGTAAGAGAGAAAGGAGTACCTTTACTATTAGAAATTTATGTCACCTTTACGAAGGTTAATGAAAGCCAGAAAGGGCAGAGAGCTAATTGTTCTCTGCTCAGAACAGTCCTTATGCCAAAGTGACATGTTTTGTGATCCCCTTCAGTATATAGATGGTCCCCAACTTAAGATGCTTGGACATTTGGGGTTTTGGGGGGTTTTTTTTTTTAAAGATTTATTTCTTTATTTGACAGAGAGACAGCGAGAGAGGGAACACAAGCAGGGGGAGTGGGAAAGAGAGAAGCAGGCTTCCCGTGGAGCAGGGAGCCCGACGCAGGGCTCGATCCCAGGACCCTGGGACCATGAGCTGAGCCGAAGCCAGTCACTTAACCAACTGAGCCCCCCAGGCGCCCCTGGACTTCTGTTTTTTGACTTTTGGTACTGCAACAGCAATATAAATTCAGTAGAAATTGTACGATGAATTTGAATTTTGATCTTTTCTCGGGCTAGTGAGATGCAGACAACACTCTCATTACGCTGGCCACAAAGTAATTTCTATACCCAGTGAGGGGCTTGAACTCACAACCCCAAGATCAAGAGTCGGGTGCTCTACCGACTGAGCCGGCCACACACCCATGATAATCTCAATTTATGATATTTTCAACTGACAGTGGGTTTATTAGGGGCATAACCCCACCGTAAGTTGAGGAAGATCTTTATATTCTTGTTGTATATTCTTCTTATTTGTTGCATGGGGGTGGGCAGAGGGAGAGGGAGAATCCCAAGCAGGCTCCACACCCAGCACAGAGCCCAACATGGGGCTTGATCTCACAACCCCCCGAGATCATGACCTGAGCTGAAATCAAGAGTCGGATGCTTAACCAACTGAGCCACCCAGGTGCCCTAAGATCTGTATATTCTTAATGCCAAACCACCGTTAAGAGTCTCATGGACATTCCCTGAATGTGGATGTGTTTTGGGAATTTTCAGTATCTCTCTTCAAACTGGCTGCAAGTAAATATCCAACTTTTTAATAAGTCTTTTTAAAAAATGAATTATAGCAATAAGAGTGAACTAAAATACTGTTTTCTACCTCATTCAATAATGATGTTTACAGTAAAGATGTCTTTAGATGTTTTGGCTGTTCTAGAGGGATCCTCTTTAGCAAACCTGTCACCTTTTACCATTTCATAATATTTAGCAAACCTGTCACTTTTTACCATTTTCATAATTATTTGTGAGAAATACCTTCTGACTTCACTGTTTCTAAATGTGTATTTTTATTTCAGGCCCGTGTGGTTCTCAAATATAGGCATTCTGATGGGAGTTTGTGTATTAAAGTAACAGATGATTTAGTTGTAAGTATACATTTTTATTTGTTGCATACTTCTAGATCTGTTTGAGTTAATCATTTGTTCAAAATTATTTACATAGAATTTATGCAGATTGCGTATTAGGATGCTAATTTTGCATTTCATTCCAAAGTCAAAAACCTCATTCTAGAGCTACTTTTATAGACTCGTGGGGAAATAACTTATTTCACCAATGTAGTATGTCAGGTATAATTTAGTAATTACTTTAGACCTTAAGCAAA